AAAAACAAAAAAAAAAAAAAAACAAACAAAAAAAAAAAAAAAAAAAAAAAAACACAACCTAAAAAAAAAAGCCAAGTTATAACTAGGAACTAGACTTGAGGTGCATTGGTAAATGGAAAATATAAACAAGAACTTACAGTCTCCTCTATAGGTACTGATGTGTAAATCTGGTGTACGTAGTAGAGATCAATGTAGTCCACACCAAGTGTAACGCCCTCAAAAAATACATAAAAACCCATCCCTTTAGACATGCATTGATATAAAAGAAACCAACCATTTCTATTCATCAGAGTCATTTTTACAACTGTATTACATGTTAACAACAAAAGCAAATGCCCTATGGGCTTACAGCTTTCCAAGTTAACACTTGGTTACAAAAAGGAGAGTGCTAACTCAATACATATTAAGCCCTTGACTTGAATTTACAAGTAATATATCAAAATAAACAAAAAGAGTCTTTAACTCTCATCCTCACCCAAGATATGTCCTTGGAGGTGGCATACTACCTGTACCTGAAAATAATGTCCTATAAAGGGTGAGCCAACGCCCAGTAGAGATATGCTAAACACAGTATGAGTAATAACTAAGACATTAGCAATTGATAAATGTTCAATTTCCATAAACTAATTCATAACCCATTTCCATTTCATAACCACTATGTTCATGTTTCATTTCAATTTCCATTTCTTATCAATTTCACAATCTACATCAACGGCTCAGAACCTGGCCAACCACTTATATGAGACAGTGACTCATATTAAACATTTCTCATTTTTCAATAGATAAACATACTAGTTGTATCAACATCTCAACAGATAAGCATACAAGCTGTATCCACATTTCAACAGATATGCATATTAGCTATATCAACACTTCCAAAGATAAGCATATGAGCTGTATCAACACAATTGACTGACAAGCATATGAGCTGTATCAACACATTATCTGACAAGCATATAAGCTGTATCAGTGGAGTCCATCCCCTATCTCCTACACAACGTATATACACAAAGGTCATATACACAATCAAACAATACATAACGTTAATGTATTCTATCAGCCGTCATACTCTATAACATATCCAATTAATTAGTTTTAGTTTGCCTAATCATCATGCATTGTCTACAACAATCAAAACTACTCTCCACCGGTAGCCCAAGCAATTATTTCTAAACAGATAATAAAAGCTCCAACAGATAAAATATCAATTTTTTCAAAGGTGAGCGATTAATAAATCTAACTCCACTATTCAACCATATAATGCGCCAATTTCATTATTTCCAACTTAATTCCATAAAGTCACAATTTTTCCAAAATTAATTATACCAATTAATTTTAAACAACAAATTAAGGCTTTTACCCCCAACTCTCACTATCAACTCAAGGGTTCAAACGTCACCAACCAACAACTATATCATCATTTTGAAACCCAAAATACATATTATGAGCCCAAAATCACAAAACCCTCTTTAACACATTTTGAAACCCTAAGTTCCAAAATCAACCATTTAAACAATAAACTCAAAATCTGGGTTAAAACCCATAAGAGTGAGTAGGAATCCCTACCTCAAATTCGGAGCTCAAGGAAAGAAGGCGAAGAAACTCAACGTGCTCCAAAACTCAATATTCTCGGATCAATGGATAGCCCTCGACGATCAACCCAACTTTTACAAAGACCGAAGGCAAAGGAAACACTCTAACTAGATCAAACCCTAGAGAGAATGGAGTTTCTAGAGAGAAGAACTCTCAAAAGGGCTTCTTAGAAAGTAAGAGAGAGAGAGAAAGTAAAAAGTGAATTTAAAACGCCAGCTGCCAACTGATATACGACATTCCCGCTCAAGCGGAGAACACAACGCTCGAGCGTCAAGAACAAAAAACTAGGTACGCTCGAGTGCAAGAAGACCCGTTCGAGCGCCAAGACACAAGAATAAAGCACATCCGTTCGAGCGCGAAAACCAGTCCGCTCGAGCGTAGATTTTCTCCTCTCAGAACTTACACCAAAAAGGTACTACCCGCTCGAGCGCCAAAGTACCTGCTCGAGCTCTACCACTCGAGCGTAAAGAAACCCGCTCGAGCGTAAAAATCACACCTGCAGAAGTTTTGCAGGGACACGAAAAACTGGGAGTGTGCAATATTCGCTTGAGCGCAACAAGACCCGCTCGAGCGAAACGACCAAAAACCCGGCAACAAGATTTCAGACCAAGGTTCAATCCACTTGTTCGAAACAAGCCCAACACATCCTATAACTCAAACAAATGGAATTAAAGGACGACAACAAGATAGATACAACTACCAACTCTACGGAACCGAGTCCGGAATACAACAGAGCAGAAAAGGGACAACCGGGATCGCTATAATATTTGTAAAAAAAAATCTTTAAAAAATACACTAAATGCCAAAACGTACAAAAATTCAATATATTTTTCATATTTTTGTGTATTTATTATTTTTTTAAATATTTTTTCACAAATATTTTACTATTTTAGATATATCTAAGTAAGGTGCATCTAAAAAAGTAAAAAAAATACTTAAAATTTAAAAAATATTCACTAATAACCAAAAAAAAAATGAAAAACAAAAAATTCAATTTTCAAAAAACTAAAACCAAACCTAGCTACTGTTTATTTTTTCCCCTTTATGCTTATTTCCCTTGTTAGAGTAACCATTTTCTAGCTAAGGTTATATTTGGATTTTGGATTTGTTGAGAGATTTGTCAAGGGGAAAGAAAATGAAAAGGACAAGTGGGGCCATAAACATTTTCATTTTATCCAATATGATTGTCAATTAATTATTTTTCAAATATTTATAGGTAGAGTTTAATGTGCTCTTATGAGTGAATGTTGTGGGGTATTCATTGATTGGTATGACAGAAAGAGAGGGAAGCATATGAAGTAATAGTAGAAGGTGGGAAGCTTGCTTACAAACAAAGTGGGGTACTTTTGGAGACCATTGAGGGTTCAAAGTGGATATTTGTCCTCAGCACATCAAGAAACTTATATGTTGGGCAGAAGAAGAAAGGCTTATTTCAACACTCAAGTTTTCTAGCAGGAGGTGCCACAACTGCAGCTGGGAGATTGGTTGCCCACAATGGCCTTCTTGAGGTATATATCTGAGCCCTTTCTCACAGATGCTTATTATATATATATATATATATATTGCAAAGACGCAAACCAAGTGACCTTGAAGTTATGTTTGGTTTGTTGATTTATTGAATTTATTTATTTTGATTTTCTTCAGGCTATATGGCCATATAGTGGTCATTATCACCCAACAGAAGAGAATTTCATGGAGTTCATTAGCTTTCTTGAGGAGCACAACGTGGACTTGACTAGTGTCAAGGTAATTATATATTTTGGAATCCTCTTGCTCCTATGCATTGACATGCATATATAGATACCCAAATCAATGAATCTAATTTCATTTACATGGTTGTTTTGTACAGAGATGTGCAATAGATGATGATGACCCATCATTGAAAGGTATTACAAGCGAGGAGATGAAGTTAGAGTTCATGACGGGGTCCAATAAAGAGACTATGCAATCCACTAACATCGAAACTACTGACGCAAGAAAGCTCACAATGGACACCACAATATCTACCATTCAACAAGAACACAATGTTGACATCTCTGTGGACGATGTTAAAGTACCAGTGTTTAAGTTGGGGAAGCACCTATCGTCTAAATGGACTACTGGAGCTGGTCCACGTATTGGTTGTGTAAGGGAATACCCTCCGGAGCTTCAATTTCAGGCACTAGAACATGTCAATTTATCTCCTCGAATCAATCCAGGACCCTTGTCATCGAGCACTCGACCAATCCCTTCGCCAAGGCCTAGTCCAAAAATACACCTCTCACCTAGTCTTTTGAACATGGGACTCCCTAGCCCGAGGCTGCATGTTCCTATTGCAAACTAACAATAATGCTACAAGCACATTTTTTTTTTCTCAAAAATTGGCGACATTGAATTTTGTGCGCCTTATGAAAAAAATGATGTACGTTTGTCGTTATTGCTAACCTTAGCCAATCCACTGAATGGTGAATTCTTTATAGCCTATTGGGCTTGATGAGATGATAACTTCTGGCTTTGAGTACTTATGGTGCCCTTAAGACTGAGCTCTTTTTGTTTTACGACTGTTTGGTCTTTCATGTGTTGGTTGAGACGATAGTTGGTGCTGCTGTAGTGTGACTCATATAGTTATGAGAATTAGATTTTCATTTCCTTACATTGTGTAAAATTGGGGTAGTTTAACTTCTAGAATTGACTAATAGTCTTCTAAGTATTTTCTTTATGACTATTTTGTGGTACATTGAAGATGAAATGTCGAGTCTCAATCGATTGGACATCAAAATGGTATCGATGTTAGTCACCATATAGATTCGTGTTGGTAGGATTGCATCGAACTTAGGTTTGACCGCGTCAGTCATCGTAATATTAGCATAAAGTTTAGGGTTACCACTTTTGGCATAAGTGTTTTTGCATGTTAGTTTTAGCTCATGTGAGCTAGTTTCTAGCATGGAATACCTAGATATGGTTTTGGTGTATACCTAGTCGTGATGAGTTCGGTGTGCACTCAACAAGGATCATTGTGGAGGACTATGACAAGCTCTATATCAAAGCAAAACCACTTGGATTAACCCAACATTCTTAGGAGTGGAGGCCTTGGTGATGATATCGGTGGTTGGCCTAGTCATTTCACAAACTTCGGGAATAAAATTTCATATGGTGGAAAGGTTGTAGCATCTTGGGTTTTTACCCCAACTTGAAACCCCTTGAGTGGGTATACCAGTCTTATTTTGGATTCGTCCTACACTAGGACGTACTACTTTTGTTGTTTTCAGTTTCATTAGGATTGTGTTAATCATTGTTTGATTGATTGTAGATACGGTTATGGGATCCATTTCCCAACAGCTCAGCCCTTTCCAAACTTCGGCTCATGAAAATAACCGAGGTGCAATGTGAGATACGAGTGAATGGTCTAGACTTAGCATATTTGATGAAAATCCACTAATCATAAATATAGATCAAACATGAGACGTGGAGTCATCATCTAATTTTTTAAGGAAAAACTAAAACTAAGAAACCCTTACTCAAACTAAAGGTCACTGCCCGTCACAACCAAAGAATCTGATCCGAGAGTTTCGGTATGAGAGGGGAAGGTCATGAATTAAGCATCCCTACTCACCTTATTAAAAATCGGCCTCTACTAGTTCTTGATATGAGAATTATTAACACAATATGATCATATAACCCAACTATTAATGTTATCTTTACTATGTGGAGCAAACAAGTATAGACTGAATCACCTACTTTGGAATACTCTAATCTCTCATGATTTGAAAAGGGTTTAAAAGTAGCAATCTTGTAGAAATACGAGATAACCAACATGCAAAAAGATCAAAATCTTTCCAACTTACGCAATGAGCAATCATAAAGATAACACATAAGCAAGTAGCCTCATGGCAATATGCTAGACATAATAAGAAGCAAACACACACAGGATGCAAGAGAAAGATGAAAGGCTCACTAAGTACTCCTCTGCACCATGCCATGAGTGTAAGGGGTTAGTAATCTATGCATGATCTTAGATGTAAGACTAAATGATAAGCAAAGAAAATAAGAAGAAAACTCATCGAATACTTCAGCCAAGTGCAACAAAAGATAGCTAGTTAGAAATATTCATGATCCTAGATGCAATAATCTACGAAATGCGAACATACACATAAAATGAATCCTACGAGACCGATTGCTACTAAGGATTGCATATGGATTATTATGAAAAGCACACCACATAATGATATTTGTTAAGACATAATAATCCGGGTTCAGATGCATGAGCCTAATATAATCATGTGAATGTCATGATGACAACTCAATAATTAAAGAAAAGTGAATAAGCTTAAAATGCGAGATAAGAGTAAGGGTAGGGAGAGAAGAAACCCATTCCAACACACACGATAAGCATAAAAACTATCATAACTAAAACAAGTATTTCGACGAGGATAAGGAGGTCCTAGCCTTCATACGCATAGAAACGAGCATAGACTGCCCGAAACCATGAAAGAAAGTTGTGAAAAGGTAAATCCAACTTATCCTCCTGGAGAAAACCATGCCTAGGTTTCTACATCATCAATAATCAACAAAGCAACAAAATAAAAAAGGCACCGATGAGAATAGAGAGATTCTCACCCTCAAATACATAAAAAGGGGTATAAACTACCCAAACAAATGAAATAGTGACAAGAGGAGATTCGGTCTATTTTCGTGGAGGAAACACTTCATGGGCTTCTATAGCAACAAAAATCAACAAAACAATGAAATAAGAAGGTTCCGACGAGGATAAAGAGATTCTCACTCTCAAACACATTAAAAAGGGTATAAACTACCCAAGTTCATGAAATAGTGACAAGAGGGGAGATTCAGTCTATTCTCGTAGAGTAAACCCTGCCTAGGCTTCTATACCAACAAAAATTAACAAAACAACGAAATAAGAGAAACTCTAATGAGAATGGAGAGATTCTCACGCTCCAACACATGTATAAGAGTATAAGCTACACAAAAGGGCCTGACTGCATCTCGGACTTGGATGTTAGCTTGGGTGACGTGATTGTGTCTCTTAGAAAAATTCAAGATGCCGCACATTGACAGATTTGACAGCTCTGGAGATCCATTGATATTTTGAATTAATACTTCTTATTAAACTGTGGAACCTTATTTTTTAATCAGATAGTTTTGTCAAAACGGTATGTCAATCTAGTTTATGTTATATACATCTTATTTTGGAATTGAGCCATGTTTTTTAAACTATATTTACTATTTATGCTTCTACTCACTGAGCTATCAACCGACCTAATTGTTTAACATTTCCAAGTGACAGAAGGACTTAGAGTGAATTCATAGCATAGCAAGGACTCTATTGCATATGCCTCTAGCACATTCATTTATTATTTTTAGATTGTTATGTCAGTTTTGAGCATATATTTTGGTTAAGATTCATTTAGGATTATTTTGTTATGTGAATTGTTTGTGTCCCACTAGATATATGCATAGTATTGATTAGGGCTAGCTTTGCTCGTTTATACTTGTGACATATTACTAGATTAGGTTTTTGTTTAATTATGATTGAATTATTGTTGCATTTATTCTATAGGACTATGGATTCTTATTTAAGCTTACGTGTGCCTTAGGCTAAGGCCCTGTGGGCTACGGCTGATCATGCCTCAAATTTAGGGTGTGACAATTTGGTTCTCCTTTTATAGTTGATTTAGGCTTTATCCTAAACTGTTGACCTTCTTTTGATTAGATGCAAGGCCAACCCTGGGCTAAGGCAAGTAAGGGTCCCAAAAATTTTGTACAAAATATATAACGCTCCAAATTTGTTATTTCTATACTATATTCAAATAGGCTCAATCTAATTTTTATTGATTGGGGCCCAGTCTAACAGGCCCCCCCAAAAATTATTTTATATAATTAGTCCAAAGAAATTAAAAACACATATATTATATATATAAGCAGTCCAAATAGTATAATGTGAGCATTATCATTCGTCAGCATAAATGTCTTTCACACACTCTTTATAGATGTATATATTAGATTTTATTGGAATAAATAATTTTGCCTAAATTTTTGTGCCCTCTTTATCATATTTTAATTGAATAATTTTTTCCTAATTTCTTTCCCTTAATTTTGTTTGCCATAATTTTGTTTCAATAATTTGTGTTTTGCAATCATATAGTCAATGGAATCTGATTTGTGAATTCAATTGTGATTGTGCTATCATATTACAATAACATAATCTTTTTGTTATCAAATATTAGTGAATTATGTTATTTGTATTGATTATTGCTAAACTACAAAGCAATAAGACCAAATTTTTATAAGTTTTTAGTCTTTGTAATGATTTTTTCATATTTTAATATATGAAAGTAAATTTTAATTTATAATTTTAACAATTATATCTGTAAGTAAATTTTTTGTGGCTACTGTATAAGAGGGCCCCATTTTTGGAGTCCGCTTAAGGCCCCATAAATCTCAAGGCCAACCCTGATTGGATGGTTAAACTTCTGTTAGGGGTCACTTTTGTTAGCGGCCAACTTGTATCTATTGTGGACTGTAGGATTTCTGCTTATTGGACGGTTGTGCTATTGTCAGACCATAGCCAACTTGTATCTATTGTGGACTGTAGGATTTCTGCTTATTGGACGGTTGTGCTATTGTCAGACCATAGTGGCCAAGTTATATTGAAAGTTGATCGTCGGATTTGGAATTGATCAGACGGTATTGTTCTTTATCAGTGTCAGTCTAAGTGATGGCCAACTTTCCGTAATCCTTGCCATTGGATTCATGTTGATCTAACGGTTGTCATTAAGCTAATCTGACATGTTCTGAATCGTATCCTATCTTTTGTTGATATGTCGTGGGCTTGGTTGGCCCTTGTTTTTGGGCCTTATTGGGTCTAGACCTTTCTTAAACAACTTTGGGTCCATATCCTTGGTTGGGTTGGGCTTGAATTTCCATCCCCCATACTCACATGCAAATTTTTGGTCTAATTTCTTAACCTTTATTTTCAATTGTACTAAAATGACACAAATTTCAAAATCTAGGCTTAAAATTAATCCAATTAAGGACCAAAATGATACATAGGACAAACTATTAGGACTACCAATGTAATTGACCCTAGTTTTTAATTCCTTTCAGTTCATTTCAAAAGAAGTATTGTGGCCCAACCTAAGTGAAAAATAATATTATCCATGGCAGACCAAGTCTCACTCATTCCATATCCAGTTTGCTCAACTAAGGTCTATTTCTATTTTTCCTCAAAGCATCATTCAAGCTTTAAGAATGAAAATGGAAGATTGCAATGCAAAGTGATCCTATATTTGGTACTTTGAAAAGGTTAAAGATTTTGGGAATGTGGTCACCAAATCTTGTTGATGAAGCAAATGCTCAATGGTCAACTTTAATGGGTCCCTTACTACTTCATGAGTGTCCTCATTTTTTCCAATAATAATCAGCACTTGCC